TACTCTTGGCACAAGGTATTCTTGGCAGGTGGTATTGCCTGAAAATTCCAATATAAATGATGAGGTCAATTTTACCAAGGACTTAGTCACTCCTAGTTAAACCAACGGTCATACGCAGGAGCTCAATTTGGGTGCATGCAGCACAAAATGAAAATTCTGTTAAATTACGTCCTTGAAAAGCTTGGAAAGCAAATATGATCTATAGCTCAATATGCTTTTAAACACAGCTCATCTTTCTTCATCCTTCATGTAGAATCCATGCTGATAGCTAGTTGACTACAAGACTCAAAGTCAAAATGATTTCTCAAATGGCTATATATGTTTTGTCACAGTATTCTCAGTTAGAAAGCTATATAGTTTCAAATCACTAATACATCTTATGTGTGTTCTACCAAGTAACTTTGTAGGTATTATATAGTTTACTAATAGTAGATGAATTCAATCACCATCTGGGAAACTGAGGCCCACAGAGATTAAATGATTTGGTTAAAACTGCAATTAACAAGACCCTCAATTTGAGACTGGGTTGCTGTTTGAAGCCACATATATCTTCTTCGATGGCCCCACTAGTCTACCAAGCTATGTCACATGTCCTGAATAGGCCTCCTAGCAAGAGTATGGTCAAAATCTAGAAATGCCAAAGACTTCAAAGATTATCAAAACTGGAAGCCTTGCATAGATAAAGCAAGCCAGAGAGTTTCAGTAATTCTCCCAGCAACATGACTCCTAGCTCCATCTCTCTGCTCTGGCTCACTTCGGCTCCATCTGCAGCACCGCCAGGAGCTGTTTTCAATTGCTCCTTTCAGTAATACTTACTGTTGTCAATTTTATTATTAGACTTTCAGTCATATCTGTTTCATTCTTTTGTTTCTGGATGACAAATTGATCAATTAAGACTGCAGTTTGGCTCCAAAATACTTAACATAGTACCTCTTTGAACTAGGTAACTGTAGTTTTCCAACCACAAATCAAAGCAGAACTACCACATGCTCTCTGATTTTAGAGAATTTAAATAAGATAAAATGTTGTTTTTACTGTTTTGACACTCTTCTTTAGGTGAGAATATAAAAAATGTAGAAATAATTATTATTTTGATCCCATGGCTCACTGGATTTTTCTCAAGAGTGTCTGTCTAAGAATGCTATGATCAAATATAAACTCTCTATATACAATGGCTAAAATGAGGATAACATACACAGGTGCCAATATTATATTATAGCACATTCTCTTTTCTGGCTCCTAATAATTACCCTCTTAGTACGGACTGGTAACAAAGCAAAAATGCATACTCTCCAGAAATATGTCCGTTAAAACACACATGCGTGTGGTATTTCCTTAACATACATATTCATTTTTTCCTTCATTTATTCTTGTGTTAATTCTGGACACTTCCACCCCATATACGTCTGAAGGCACCAATACTTATTATGATTAAGGCATGAAAGAGTAATACTCGGCAATTCTGAGAGTATACCTAATTGTACTTTTTTTTTTTTTTTTTTTTTTTGAGTTGGAGTGTCACTCTGTCGCCCAGACTGGAGTGCCGTGGCCGCTCCCGGCCACCGCAACCTCGACCTGCTGGGCTCTGGCGATCCTTCCGCCTCAGCCTTCCAAGTAGCTGGAATTACAGGCGCATGCTACCACGCCCAGCTGATTTTTTGATTTATTGTAGAGATGAGGTCTCGCTGCCCAGGCGGGTCTCGAACCCGCGGGCTCAGGCAATCCACTCACCTCAGCCTCCCAAAGGCGCGGGATTACAGGCTGAGCCACTGAGCCCGGCCCTAATTGTACTTTTAACAACACCGTTAGAGAGTTGATAAGAGATACAAAGTACACACGTAGAACATATTGAGAACCAGTTCATCACTTACTGGTTGTTGCATATCTTAATCAACAACTGTCTGGCAGCTACGTGGCTTGTAAGATACAGATCTTTTTTTTATGTTAATGGAGCAGGTCTTCCAGCTAGGTTGGTCAGTCGAAAATGAGACTCATAATGGAAAGGATATTATGTCTATTGATTTCTTTGGTTTTAAAAAATACAAGACCCGTGTAGAGTGGTAGAATGCCGTTTCCAAGAAAAATAATTTACATTTAGTTTTGAGATCTGCTATTCCATATTGCTGTAAGACTTATGCAAGATGCAGCAGTTACATGATGCTTCTTTGCACTTGCATACTTTCCAGTAATGAGATGGTTTCAATTTCATGGCATAATTGTTTTAAAGCACCATTTATATTTATTTTAAGAGGGTCCCAAAAAGCCAAACCTAGACAAGGATATCCCAAATTGCACTGGCACAATTTAATACAATACCATTACATTTAAAACATTTACATGTATAGTTGCAAATCTACTTATTTTAAGCATAATTTTATGTAATATTTTGACAGACAAAAATATATATTTTACAACCATTATATGCATCTGTTTGTTCAGTAGCAAACCTACAATAAATTATACACTATAGCTAACTTACAGTAAATTATACATTATACTAATTTTTCATGGTCTAAAAAATAAAAAGTCATAACTTATGTTTAAAATAGAATGCTAATTATTTCCAAATAAAAAAGCCAACAACAGCCATTATATTAGATTCACTGATTTCAAGATTACATTCATTGGATATACACATAAAATTCATTACTTATAAATGTAGCAATGAAGCTGGATTTGACACTGAGTGCTTGCAAGCTTGTGGACACTGCAGTCTTGCTACAAGCTTGATGTTTTGAATACCATGTAGTAAAAATTTAAATTACACAAGGAAAAGGGAATAGTCATATTAAATGTATGAAAATAATATATATGTTTTATCCTAATGCCTTATCTGTGGGTATTGTCTCCCAAGGTTAATTTGGCTGTTTTATTTTCATTTAGGACAGGTTTTGAAAATCAGATCCACTGGAAGGATACAATACTGTCTGGGTTACTCATGATGACAGAACAAAGCAGGTGATGGGCACAAGTGTCTTCCCCTATATTTCATGGCTTTATGTTTTTCTTGGAAATTAAAGGGAAATTTATGCATTGAATGTGCATAAAGAAAGAACCTGTGACCCTTGTTTTATCTTTAACCTTTTGTACTTTAAAAAATCATCTTGCTAATAAGTATGATGACATTTATTTGTGAATTTATTAACAAGTCAGTCTTTTAATATATTCAGCTTGAGAGTAGGTGAGAAATAATAGGCTAAGCAAAAATACAGTATTATTTATTGGCTTAAATTATTGAATATTTTGAACAGGGTAAGCTTTCCCCCCTGTATTTTTCTATTGTTATAAAATACTTCGAATAGAAGGAATGTTTACTATTAATATTTATTCTTTCCACTGGATTTAAATGCGGTTGTTTGTTTGGACAATTGTTGCCTAACCATATTGCAAAAGGCAATGTCTGTGAAGAAACTCTGTTTTCCTGTTGTGTTCTAGTCTAGAATGAGTGATGTGTTTCATGATGTACATGGTGGGAGCATCGCCTCAGCAGGTCAAGGCAAAGCTTATGGTGATGGAGTGAGTACAAGCCATGATTCACACCGTGTGCTGGAAGGAATGGTGCATCTGAAATATCGTGAATTCCAGGAACCATAGTCCCCACTCATTAATTACCTTTACGTGACAAATATTTAAATCTCTGTGATTTTTAAAAAAAATTAGTGAATTTCCCGCCCTTCCTCTTTTGTCAATGTGTGGGAATCTTGGATTCCTATACTTACTAGTTCCAAAAATACACTCCTTCCAAGTATTTCACAGGGTACTGAAGAGATTCCGAGCAAAGAGGTGAATAAAAGGAATTCTCTTTGCATTTAGGAATATAGGATGTTTAGTAGAGATTTTGAATGCAATGTAATATTCACCACCAAGTTTTGGTAAAGCACTGAAAATATAAACACCGCATAAAAATATTTAATTTTATATTTTACAAATACCCAGGAAATGTTTAATAATAAATGAAATGTATTATTTGCTGCTTTGAGGCAGCTACAATTAAAACTCATAAAAAGAAATTCTAGGGTCAAGTAACTTTTACACTTAACGCTGAACACTGAGTTAACTTCATTTTGTTTATGAATTGCCAAAAAAGAAGTGGTTTTGGAAAAGGTGCTTTAGTTTCAACAATTCAGACTAACTTTCTTTTTGGGTCAAATTCCCAGTATTTTTTTCAGCTCATCAGTTCAATTTGCTTTTGTAAACACAGCTTTAGTTGTTTCCACAATCTGTGACTGGTGGGAAAGCATTTGAAATTTTACAATGGACACAAACCATTACACACACACACACACGTATGTATATTTTAAACTCCAGAAAAGGAGCAAAAAAAAGTATTTAATGACCTATCTCATGAAGATTATGTAGACATCAAATGTTAGAATTGATGGCTTCTTTCCTTTAAGACTTATTTTTACTCTCTGCTTTCTTCCATATTTTGAAATTCAGTACATATTTTTTGTAGTGTTGATTTGGCCAGACCTGAAGACCGGCTTATGTGAAAAAGTGCCACAGAGTAGATCCCTTAACACTAAATTATTTTCATTCATGGATATTCAAAAATAAGTGGGGTTTGTTTTTCTAGTTTCACTGTTATCAGGAGGTGCTGTGGGAGCGGTTGGTCATGAATATTCAATGATGCGCATTGGTTTAGCAGTTTCTCTTTCGTTAACCCTAACTGGTGCCATGCATGTTACCTCTCCATCCTTGCAAAAGGCTCAATTCCCATACTAACTTAGGAATTCTGATATTGCTTCCTTTATCATGGGGCAAAACTTTACCTACTTCAGCTGAAGATAAAAATCTACTGCTCTTCCTATTACTTTCTGCTTAATGACCTTCTCTGATTTATTGCTTTAGGGTTGCCAAATAATCTTTCTCTGTGTTCCGAGTACTCATCTGTATGCATTTAGTAGTTACAGATACACACAGTAGCCTAATGCTCCTCTATAAAGATGGACTCTAATTTCCTATCAACTTGCACATAAGGACAGGCTGCTATGCAATACTTTTTGTCTGTGCTCAGAATATTACATGCCATTGCTTAAAACAAAAAAGATTACATATTCAGTCAATTTTGTAGCTCAGGATATAAAAGAAGGGGTTAATCATCACACCAAGAACAATCATCTGGTAGATTCATGGCACCATTCTTTGGAGTTACTGGGAGTTATTTTCATAGCTTCAGTTGGGTCATTAAACTAGACTCATCGATGCACTAGCAAACAAGGTTTGTATTGAGACTATCCAACTTCCTTTTTATTAGGATCTTTCATAGCTACTATTTTGCATAATAAAGATAAATATTCTGCTTGGCCCTCTGTTCTTTATTCATTTTTTAATATATAACAAAACTATCTAACATCAAAATCAACACTACTATGGATGGGAAAGTTGTCTCTTTCATATGTACTTTCTTCTAGCTTGACTTGTATTTGTGCAATTGCACTTTATATGAATTATTGCCCTCCTGAAAATTTTTAATATTTTTATTATATTTTATATGCTGTAAACCATCTTTCCAGGACTACCCTGTTAGAGCGCTCTGTTTGAGAAAGCAGCCTTTTATTTAGATGGGGTCATTGCAAGTTATCCTCAGTCCCAGACCCTTCTGGACTGGAGTCAATGTCAAGGAATGCCTCTTTATTGGTGAAAGTTGAGCTCAGAGTCATGCTCTGTCGAGGCTTCACGGGTGCAAGTTCATCTAATTTAATATTTTCATTGTTGACCAGAATTGTCTTATCCATGTTTTCTTCACTGTGCCTTGCAACAACAGCATCAAATACATCTAATTTTGGTGGCAGGGTTCCACTTTCAAACAGATATTTGGCTAGGTAAGAGATGCAAATGTTGGCTAAGAATGAGGTGAGCATGGCCAGTGTTTTAAATGGGAATCTCTGGTTGTATATACCATTCTTATCAGCGTAATAGCCAGGGTAGAAGATCACGGGCTGCAGGTACAGGTAGGGCTCCCCTCCAGTGATCCTCAGGAAAAGGCCAGAAACGTAACCTGCCACGGCCCCATAGGTGTTGGTCCCCTTGACAAAGAGGACACAGAGCAGCTGGGGGAAGATAATGATGTAGATGAGATCGGAGCTGAGGTACCACAGCCCATACACGGTCTTCGTCAGCAAGGCCATGGCCGTGGCGGATGCTCCAAACACAAACACTGTGATTCGCATCACCCACACGATTTCTTTGTCGGATGCCTGCAAGAAATCGCCACAGTGTCAGCTCTTCACACAGCATGCTGGCTCATTTAGGCAAAGAAGAAGACACGTTCTGTGCTGTGACATCAGCCTAAAGGATTCCCCTGGCTCAGATGGCTCCGTCTATGGACAAACCCAGAACTCCAAGAACTGCCAGCACCCGAAGAAAACATTCTAGATGGCCTCCTGTGTGGACCTTTGGGAGGGGTTTCTGGGACCCACAGGCATGAAGCAGAGAGCTTTTCTGAAATGCCTGGGGGTTTCTGTGCACCACGGGCACAAAGCAGAGACCACCTGAGCCTTTCCCTAAATGCATGGGGGAGATGTGGAATAAGCTAACGTGGTGTCCTAGGGGGATAAAAAAACAAAGGAAAATTTTGCTTACTTCAAGTTTTAGGGAAAAGTTTTTATGTGACAATGAGAAAGCATGGACCAGCCTTACTTCCTCTCTTCAAAAGAGTGCTCCCATCTTTTGGTGCCCTTGAAAAGGGCTTGTGTAAGGAATTCTCTTGGTTAAAAAAAAGACACTGGGACCATTTTGTTAACTGTGACCTAGAAACCTAGGGAGAGCAAAAGTTCCATTGAAGCAAGAAGATGGAGAGGAACTCTCTGTCCTTTACTGACTACAGTAGCATGCTATTTTGCAACTACTTGAGTCAATAAGGAAAGTCAAATGGAGAAGTTATTTTCTGGCAAAGATGAACTTGTGAGTTCAAGGGAAGAGCAGCCCAGATGTTACACAAATATTTATAAAATAATATATCAGGTTCTACTTCTACCAGGGTTCTCCATTCTCTTGGTGCATTTAGTTAGACTAAAAGTTTTGTCGAGATTCTTTAGTTTCATTACTCTTTCATTAGAAAGGCAAGAATTTTAAATTATAGCAATATTGACTGTATCTCTTGGGGAACAGGTATACTGATTTGTCCCCTTCAGTATAGTATAACATCTATAATAGCATATATAAAATCTACTGTTATTTAACTTGAATGTTTAATCAAAGTAGGGCTAAACTTTAACGTAGAACATTAAGAAATATTAATAAATATATAATACTATATATATGTCAACAGCAAAATAATGATAAAAAAATTACAGATTTAGAGGAATGGTTCTTACATTTTGTCTAAAGGAAAGCTGGTAGATATTCCGAGCAAACATTGAACTTGCTGACAAGATGGAAGAATCTGCGGATGACATGACAGCAGCAGAAACTGCACCAAGGCCAAAGAAAGAAATGGATACAGGGCAGAGGTACTGCAGAACGATTGGCAAAATCATGTCTGCTTCTTCATTATCCTTGGGATCTGGAAGCCCGTATGCAGTCTGGTTCCAGTCTGTTCAACAGAAACAACAGCTCTCATGACAATCAAAGACCCATATGCTCTTTACCCAACTGAGGTCATCCTGTTTACCAGGTAGTTCTGCAATACATTCAGAACACGTATGCTAGTCTACTTGGGTGGAAAGTGGAATTAGGGGCTGCTGGGTGGGAAGTGGCAAACTATTTGGCAACTGTGGTGGAACAGCAGGAGATTTACCTGTGGATGCCCCAATGGCCCCGATGAGAACGGCTGGAAGAGCCATCACCAGGCACCCGAAAGCTGCTAGAAAGGACAGCACTTGAGCATAGGTGGCTGAGGATGAAGACAGGACTCTCTGGAAGTAGGCCTGCCAGGGGATTCCACCCAGCATCTGATGAAAACCACAGGGACTCAGGGTTAACTGGTGGCAAATAACATCTATTGTTTTTAAAGAGGTTTGTTACAATTATATTTAGAATAGTCCTAAATATGTCTCTGAAGTAAAGAAAATGTCCCACACACCACAGATCTCAATTGCTGTTATTGCATTTGCTGTGGTCTAAAGTTCAAGTCATACACTGAAATTCATATTCTCAAGGTGACAGTACTAGGTACCATATGAGGATTTAAGGAGAAGACAGCAGTCTGCAACCTAGAAGAGGTCTCTCACCAGAACCAGACCGTGCTATTACCCTAATTTTGGACTTCTAGTCTCCAGAACTGCACCCAAAATAATTATTTTGTGTATACATCACCCAGTCTGTGGTACTTCATTGTAGGTATTTCTATGGTACTTCCAAACTGACTAAGATAGTTATTTTAAAGATGAGTAGTCTGTGTACTAAAGCACGATGTATGGAAAAGGACTTCGAGGTCTGGATGTGCTGTATCAATCCCTAACTCAGACAATGGTATGATTATCTGGCATGCAGGTATAATTTCATATATGTATTTACTCTCATTCTTTCAATTAATAATCATAAGCCATTCCAGAAAAATGAGAGCCAAGGAATTTCTTAACAAGCCCAGAGAAAAAATAAAACCCTCCAATCCCCTGCTGGAAACACATATTTTTCCCATATTATCCAGTTCCTTACTAACAAATTTTTTTTTACAGAAAAAGACACACTCACACTGAGTGTCACCGCAATGCTAAAATTCAGAGGAGGGCCTTGAACACAAAGTCACAAAATATTGTTAATCCTCTAAATAGAAAAACAAAATAACCCATTTTGCCTTTCCTTTTTTTTGTTGAGATAAAGTTTTACTCTGTTGCCCAGGCTGGAGTGTAGTGGCATGCTCACGGCTCACCACAGCTTCCAACTCCTGGGCTCAGGCGATCCTCCCACTTCAGCCTCCTGAGTAGCTGGAACAACAGGTGCAGGCCACCATGTCCAGCTAATTAAAAAAGAATTTTTTTTGTAGAGAGGAAGTTTGGCTATGTTCCTCAGGCTAGTCTCGAACTCCTGGGCTCAAACAACCCTCCCACCTCAACCTCTCAAAGTGCTGGGATGACAGCAATGAGCCAACATCTCAGATCAATTTTCCCTGAATTTTCATATAACCTCTTTCTGATGTTGAAATTAAATTCAGTGTGTTATTTTCATACACAACCTCTGTAGTTAACAGAATTGCGATATCCAGTCTTCCCCTTTCCCCTTAATCTGCAATCTATCATATCTTCTGTGTTCTTCTCTAACCTCCAATACCCTTGCCCCCAAGGTGTGTTTTCATGCTAGCTTTGGCTCCCCCGGCTTCTCTCTTGACATCTTTCCTGAGTAACACCTCTCTTCCCAACTTGCCTCACACACAGGATTTAAGAATCGTTGGTCACATTCCTCAGATAAGAACGTTACTCACCAACAATAGGAAACTATCAAGCCAAGTGTAGACATCAAATGATTCAACAGTTCCCAGCCAGGGCTCCTGGTATTTGGCATGCACAGCAGTGAACCCGATGTCGGCGACTGCAGGATGTGACAGTGCAAAAGGGACACTGATCCACTGCAACAGAAAGCGACACTGGAGCTTTAGGCTATGGCTTTAAACTGTCTGGGATATGCAAGATCTAGGCACCTCAGAGGCGGCTTCGCTCAGTAGTTCTTCTTGTTCAGACAGAGAAAGGCCTGAACTTAGCCCTTTGCGGGACCCCTCAAACACTGAATTAGAGAAATTAAAATAATGCGTTGTCTAATTCTGTGCTTGATTTTATCATATCATACGAGCCATAGGAAGCATCATCAAAACTTCTGGGAAGAAGACATTACATTTGAGATAAGTGGTGATAGATAGATAGAGAGATAATATAAATAGATATTGAGATACATGTACGCACTTTAATGTTTTCTATGAATTAGGGAAAAGTGGCAAGGAAAGATTTGATTGAGAAACTTGTGAGTAAAACAAGCCTTCGAGGGTGGGTCCACTACTAGCAGGTAGAAGAAGAAGGAACTAAGTAAGGGAGAAAGTAGGCAGAGAGTAGAGGAATCTATGGTGTGTGTGTGTGGTGGGGGGTGCACGGGTGCCACCCCTGTGGGGTGACAGGGTTGGCGGCCATGGAAATGGCTTAGGGAAATGGGAGGGATAAAGCGAGATGTGAGATAGATGTGTAGAGAGAAGCTTCGGTTGCGATCTAAAGAATTTGAATTCTGTTTTCCAGGCACCTAGAAGCTAGAGAAATTTCTTCTGACTCTTAGGAAGATCTGAGTGGATCTTTTTCTGACATTAAATATCCTAGATGTGTAAGTTTCGAGACATGGAGGAGGCAGGGAGAGGAGGAGGTCACTTTGATACCACCTAGATGAAGACCTGAAGTGCAGCAGGGACGTTGGGAATAAAAATACGTTGACACAAAATGCGATTATTCAGAGAGTCAACGACCCTTTGATTATGAGAAGGAGAAAGAGGTCAGAGAGAGGGAACACCTATGGAGGAACTTTCCGTTTACAATTTTGGAGCTCCATGGATGATGATAAAATCAGCAGAATGAGAGAATTTGAAAAAGAAGATGGCTTAAAATGTACGTTGATTAAAGTACGACCTAACACAGTTACCATTTTCGTGGTGAGAACACTTAATACTCTCTAGCTTTGCATTGTTCAAGAATGCAGTGTATCATCACTAACTATAACCAACTTAGTTTAAAATAGACGTCTTGAAATGTATTCCTCCTATCTAACTGTAATTATGTCTCCTTTGACCAACATCTCCCCATTTCCCTCTCCTCTAACCAACCCAGCTTCAGGGAACCACCATCGTACTTTTTACTTCTATAAAAATCCGCTTAGATTCCAAAAAAAAAAAAGTTGATTAATCATGTATTCATGTATAGCAATTAAGACAACCATATTTAGTCTTTTATTCAGCGAATTCAATAAGCTCTTAAGCAGTAACCTACAGCTCTTCATTCCTTATCAATTTAGTTACATTTTGTAGCAGAATAGCATTGTTATATATTTGCCCTACCATCTTTTCACCCGTGCACTTGATTTATGCATCTATGTGTTTTAAGTTCTGGTTTCATACTAATAAATATTGAATAATATATATCATCAATAGTAGGTTCATCCCCTGGGGGTTTGTTTTTTAGTCTACCTAACACATCAGTTTTGAGAGCTGTCATTGCTGAACTAACTTCACTGCCTGTGTTCTGAAGAGAGATTTATTTCTGTGCTCTCTGTTTTATTCCTGAAAGTGTATGATGATGCCAAGGAAACATCAGAATTTCAGCACTGTTTACTTGATTTTGCAATTTAAAGATAAAAATGTGGGAGCTCTGTTAGTGTGAGGTGGCTCATACCTGTAATCCTAGCAATTTGGGAGGCCAAGGAAGGAGAATTGCTTAAGTTTGAGTTTGAGACCAGCCTGGGCAGCACAGTGAGACTTTGCTTCTAAATGAAGAAAGAAAGAAAGAAAGAAAGAAAGAAAAGAAAGAAAGAAAGAAAGGAAGGAAGAAGGAAGGAAGGAAGGAAGGAATGAGAAAGAAAGAAGGAAAGAAAGAAAGAAAGAAGGAAGGAAGGAAGGAGAAAGAAAGAAAGAAAGAAAAATGAGCCGGGTATGGTGGTGTGTGCCTGTAGTCCCAGTGACTTGGAAGGCTAAGGCAGAAGGATCACCTGAACCCAGGGAGGTAGAGGCTGCGGTAAGCCATGATTGTGCCATCACACTCCAGCATGGGGGACAGAGTTAAACCACAACTCACAAAAAGAAAAAAAATGACACCCTTGAACAAATGAAATATTCTCAAGTATAATTAGAATATAAAAATATTAAAATATAAGTGAACGAAATTCCATGAGATGCAAATAAAGTGTTTAGGAGAGAAAGAGGAAATATTACCATCTTTGCTAATACATTCAAACTTACAGTTAAATCTACAAACCCAACTGTGGTTCATTCTTTTAACATTTCCTACAGAACATTGTTAAAAAAAAAGAGGGAGGCAAGTGATTCCTTCCCCATTTTTCATTTCTAAGTGTGAAAGCTGAAATAGAGTGAAACTCTTTTCATTATAAGAAAAAACAAAACAAACAAGCAAACAGACAAAAAATGAGGAGCATCAGGAGGTACTTTGGCCAACCTTGGGAAAATGAGTGTGTTACCTTCCTCTGTCTGTGGCCTTTTCTCAAGGGCGTTGGCCCTACAGGATCTGTAACTGAGATGATACATGTGTTTGATGAGATAAGGTATATGAATTCATGACAGCCCTCAGCACAGAATGGACACACGATTTTCTTAATACATCTTAGATACGTCTTAGGTATTTTATATTATTTTGCACATAATTATCATCTTCATGGTGTAAGACATGAGTTTGCAAAGAATCAAGACTGACTAAAATGTGTTCAAAGCACACAAAGGCTCTCTTAATGTAATACTAATAACACTCGTGTCTCATAGCAGTATTTTTTGCCTGGTAAAACATAAAGGCAGTAGATAATAAATCTTTCCAATGCTTTATATAATCGTTTTTTTGTGTGTTTAGGCCCCAAAGGGTGATGATTAATGTTTGAAATCCACAGTTTTCCAAGGTGATGATTTCTATGTTCTATGGGAAGCTTAATGGATAATCAAACTAACAGAAGGAGAGGATAAGAGACTTGCTGGGTGACCACGGAGGTTTAAACTTTGATAACTCTGAGGAAAGAATGCTGTCTTCAGCACTCAGAGTAGATCACACATAAGCTTCCATTAAGTGTAGGCATGAAGGAAAGGAAGACCTAGACAAGGCGTGTCCAACCTTTTGGCTGCCTTGGACTGTATCCAGTAACCTTTTGGCTTCCTCGGGCCACACCCAGTAATCCTTTGGCTTTCCTGGGCCACACTGAGTAAAAAGGAATTGTCTTGGGCTGCATGTAAACTATGTAATATAGCTAGGATATATACAGAATAAGACTTCCTTTTAAATACTTTTTATTATGGAGTTTAGAAAAAAAGAGAATGATAAAGAGCTAGTAAGAAGTTTGATTTTGTTTTTGTAAAACAAATCTATCAATGTCTGGTTTGATGGAAGTGGTTGCAATTCTTAGTGAGTTCTCAAGGTGTTTGCTAGAAATGTTTGTTCGAATTTTGTTCTTTGCGTGTGTCACAATTGAAAACAGCTACTCACAAATGCTATATGCTGCCAAAAAGCAATGTCATGAGTAAGGCATGATTGTGAACTTCAAAAATGGAATGACATATGGGGTCACGAAGAAAAGAAATGCTAAAAGCCACATGATGTTAAAAGATTTTGTGGGACCTCATTACTAGCTATCAAGGGCCACATGTAGCATGCAAGCTGCAGATTGGATATGCCTGACCTAAACCTTCCTAAGAATTAAACTGAGGGCACACTTTTTAGTCAACATTTAACAAAATAATTAGAATTTTTCATCTAATTAGTTCATAGAGAAACTTAGAATTTCATGCAGTGTGTAGCTGATGCTTTACATATGAGGGAGGATAACATTTCCACTAATTTTTTGCTGAGTCTGTACAGAATGCTATGATATCTTTTATAGAAAAACAAGAAGGGGAATCTGGGGTGACCCCACTTACCAGCCCTACGAAAATGCAGAAGAGCTGAACGACATCTGTATACGCCACCGAGTAGAGCCCACCTACCAGGGTGTACAGAGTGGCAATGAGTGCAGAGACGATGACAGAAGCATGCACGTCCACGTCAATGATCACGCTGATGGTGGCTCCTGTAAGAAACAAATATGGGAGCATATCGGGCCAGGCACCCAGGCGGATTCCGCGTTCTATGCAAGGACATACTGCACTTTTAGTGATAGTCCATATGCTCCCTGGCATCGTGACATCTGAGGTGGATTTTCATATTGAAATTTTTATATCTTATTAAATTGAGTACATATGTACGTAATATGTACGTGAACACACACACACACACACACACACACACACACACACACACACTCCTGCTTTCTGAAAACAGTGATTTGTTAACTGATCTATGTGAGAGACAGCTGAAATTCATGATAAAAAATATGAGATGGCCTGAATCACTGATAAATTTAATTCCATTATAAGAACTTGCAATAATTTTGCCAACTATCTGAAACTCTTACTTAATTAAATACAGTCCCCATGGGATATGCCATTGTTAGGTAACACATGACTGTATTTAATTAAGCCTTAGGCCATCTCATCTTGTAAACCTCGTGTAGTATGCTTAAACAAACCTAGCTGGTAGAGCCGACTACTCACCCAGACCTAGGTCATACGATATAGCCTTTTGCTCCTGAGCTATACACCCGTACAGCATGTTACTGTACTGAATACTGTAGGTAACTGTAACACAATGGTATTTGTGTACCCAAAAGGTACAGTAAAAATATGACATCAAAAACTTAAGGGACCGTTGTTGTGTATGCAGTCCACTGTTGACCTAAACATTATGTGGTGGATGATTGCATATGATATATCATTACTCACATCTATGAGAAACACAAGGCTTTCTGAGAAGCATGACTTGAGATGATTGACCGAGCTACTGTTTTATAGTTTTTTTTTTGTTTTATTTT